GGGTCCACCCGCGGGGAACACAGTGGTGTGGTGATGGGATTTGTTCCCCGTGATTTGTTTGTCGTGGTGTTTGATCTTTTGACTTCCCGTTGTTCTTTTGTGGAACTATTTGAGCGTCTTCTTGATGTTTCGTAGGTCTAGAGCTTTATGGTAGGCATCCATGTAGGATCTTTGGTGTCTTGAATCGTGCTAAGTGTTCAACATTGTGTTTCGTTGAACCAAGAAGTGTCTTGTGTGTTCCTCGGAACTATCTTGAGTTTCCCCGTTGATAAGCATGCTAGTTTGTTGTCTTAATGCTAGCGTGTGTGTTGTTCGTACCTTCCGTTAGGGTGATGATAACTTGTGTTATTCATCGTTGTTGTCATTGGGTGGTGACCCGTTCCTTGATTGAGTGTGTTTCATACCTTCTTTGCAATCCGTTGATTGATTCGTGTGAGTGGTGGTGCGTGTGTGGCTCTACCTGGATTGCACGATTAGTGGTATGGGACGCTAGTCACCAAGGTATTGCAGCAGTCCTCGTGGTGGCCGTGATGTGATTATGGAGCTGTGGCTGAGTCCACGTGATTGGGGGATAACATTGTGTTATCCGGGCATGTGTTGCCGTGATTGGTGGGTTTTCGTTGGTGGTTATAGGTGGGGGACGACGGTCCCGGAGGAATAAGGTTGGACTTGGCTGTACAGGGGATTCTGGAGGTAATGGTTGGCTTTGAAGGTACAAGGTTGGGGGTAGCCATAAGGTTGGAACAGGGCATAAGGAAGGCATATCAACTCGTGATGGGTGATGTCACGGGGGCTTGTGTAGCCGTTGTTGTGTGATCTTCTCTCGTGACGTGTGTAGTCACGGAGGCTTGTAGTGTTTTGGCATGTGTTGCCGTTGGGTGAGTCTTTATCCTTGTGTGTGGTTAACCTTTGTGGTTTGGGATGTGTTCCCGGTGTTATCCTTGTGAGTGGTGAGTCTTGTGTTGTCTTTTGATCTTGGCTTTTGACTTATATATATGTATTCCGTTTCGAAAATGGTTTTTATATCTTATATCTACCTATTTATGATACTTAACGGTGTTGGTGGGTTACCAGCATCTTTCGCTGACCGGGGTCGCCCCGATGTTTATCTTTGTGTTCTTTCAGGTGTTGAGTAGTCGAGCGCGATGTCTAGAGCCGGTAGCTTAGCACCTGTATCTTTAGACTGTGTTTTTGTGGCCTGCGTGCCAATGGCTTAGATTGTGTTTAGATTGATGTTTTGGGATAGTGTGTTACACTTGCAGATTGTCGCCTTAGCGTTACCTAGTGTGGTATACATGGCATAACACCCCTGTTGTGGATTTCTTTTATCCAGTTTCCGTTTATCTTCCGCTGTGCTAGTTTTGTTGTTAATCTGCATGTGTTAAGACTTGTTTTTAGGTCTTGTTGTTTTGGGGGTGTTTGCGTTTGCGTTTCTCCAACAGTCCAGAAATACCGACGCCCTATGCAACATAGTACATAAATCAAAATCAATGCCCTTCCATACACTCTGATTCCTACTGCACCACACACCCCAACAAGCCATAACAAACTTAGATTTTGAGATTACATCTAGTGTGCCCAATGCCCAAAAAAACCAGTCACCCAGATGATTACCAGCGTAGCTACTTACATGCGGCATCTCCAACTTATTCCAAAGCCGAGCTGCCTCCACGCAATGGACGAACAGATGCATGGCCGTCTCTTGTTCTCGTCTGCACATATGGCAATTCAATAAGCATGCTACATTCTTAGACAGCAATATATCACGTGTAGGAAGATAGACAGACGCTAACTGCCAACAAAAATTCTTCACCTTAGGAGGGACATGCAAGCTCCAAATACTCGCCCAAGGGCGGTCATCTGCAGCCGCCAAAGTAAGCTACTTATAACATGATTTAACTGAATACGCGCCCTTCTGATCCCATTGCCAAAACCACTAATCACGAGGCTTCCGAATACTGACAGGAATATTTAAAATTAAATTAGCATCGCGGGCATTAAAAATATCCTTTACACAATCCACATCCCAACCAGTACCATGTAAATTCATCAGGGAGGACACCGAGGCCTCATAAACTGACTGGTGCAACTCCGTCTCTACGAACGGATTATCATCCACTGGCAGCCAAGGATCCTTGCCTATAATAGTCCCATTTCCATCGCCTATCACCCTCCTACAGCCCTCCTTCAAGCAGCCTTTTACCTCCAACATACCCCGCCAAATGTAGGATGGTTTGCTCCCCTCCCTTGCATCAAAGAAATCACAATCAGGGTAATAGTGTGACTTAAACACACGAGCCACTAGACTTGTGGGGTTGGTAATCAACCTCCAAGCCTGTTTTCCAAGAAGGGCATTGTTCATCTCATGAAGGCGACGAAAACCCATTCCACCACACGCATTAGGCTTAGACAAACCCTCCCATGAACGCCACTTTATTCCACGAACATTTCCCACACTACCAGTCCACCAGTATTGTAACACCCCAGATTTTCAAGACATTTAAAACTTATAATAAAGGTAGAATCTTATTAAATCCCAAGATATAACTACTAATATCCTCAATAATGTAAACGCATAAGCATGGCACGTAGGCCAAAAAGGGAACTATCTACTTCTACGTTCCAAGTTCTAGCGCGCTCCAGTGACTTAATCTTCTGTGCCTAAAAGCCAAATATATCTGTTCAGCGAGAGATGCTGGTAACCCACTCCAACGCGTTGAAATACAATACATATAGAGGTATATATAGATATACGAAAACCATTTTGAGCATGAAGATATATCCTACGAACTCTAGCTTTAAAATCGGGAATGACTCGACAGATAAGGCCAGACACAAGCAACAGTTATAACGAGCATATGCAGTTCACAACAGATAAGGCAGATAAGGCAAAGCATAAACAATGATCATAACCCAACATGAACAATCCCCAATATAAATCCCATAGTCACATCCCCCAAGACACTCGTAATCACAACTCGTCCATGTCACACACATAACACACTTTGTTGGCGCCACAGGACCAATCGCATGCCCATACATGAGGGTCAGCGCATATAGCTCTGACACGGCCCCGCAGCACCCTGCCCCGTATCGCAACACGGAGGGGTCGATCGCAACCGACCGATGAACCGCAGCTCATCATAGTGTTTGATCGCAACCAAACAGTGGACCGCAGCCCAAGAGAATGTCATCTAACCGCAGCCAGGAAAAAGGACGAACCGCAGCTCGTATAAAAACGTTTGATCGCAACCAAACGGTGGACCGCAGCCCAAGAGTATCAATCTGACCGCAGCCAGCTTCTGAACCGCAGCTCAGGATAACCAATTCGATCGCAACCAAATTGGGGTAACACACACATAACACATAGCAAGCACATGCAACCCACATTACACATTAGGAAGGGGGGGAAAACGTATAACAAAACCTATGCGTGATCCATCACATACTAAGAATAGTCCTAAGGGGTTCATACTTCTTCCACCTAGGTCAACGGGATACCAATTCAACTAGCATGCAATATAATAGACTCATAAACCTACGAACGGTACCCGAAACATCAAACTAGACATAGGCACGATAAACGGAGTCCGTTGGGACACCACGGGGAACGGGGAACATCAAACGGGGAAGCCGGGGTCCCAGGTGGGACGACTTTCCAGCGGGTAGCCGGTGGGTGGTGGGCCACCCGCCGGCTGCCCGCCGGGTTCTACTGTTCCGGGCAGCGGGTCGCCGGCGGGCAGCTGCCCGCCCGCCGGCCGCCCGCTGCCAGGCGGTGGTTTACGGCTATGGGTAGGTGGCGGGTCCCCTACCCCCCACTGACTCTTTTCACACACTTTACGCTCCAGGAACCGTTATGGAACCCGAAACCATGCTTAGACACTTTACAACACAATTAACGACAACCCGTAGACAATTAACGAATCAAATACGAGGAACGAACGGCACATAACCTATCATGCTTTTCTAAGTATAATCAACACCCAAACATGCGATTTCCCCACCGGATAATCCAAGAATAAGATCATACGATACAACCTAGGGTTCTAATCACTTTTATATCAACAAGAATACGGTTCGTCTTCTAATTGCAAGATTCGGTAAGAATAACACATAATCATCAAGATCATCACCCAATTATCAAGAACAACACATAATCATCAGAACTCCATATAATCATCAAGAATATCATAATTATCAAGAATCTCTCAATATCAAGATTATCAAGATCCCCCATGGGATCATCACATCAATCATCAACAATAATTATCACAAGTCATTAATACACAATAATATGGGGAAACCCTAAGGGGGAAATCATAGCTATGAAAATAGGTTTTGTTGAGACATGGGTTACCTCTTAGCCTTAATTAATTCCTTGGCTATGAAGGGTCTTTGTTTAAGCTTTCTTGCTTTCTTGATTTCTTCTAAGGGGATTCTTGGAGCACTTTGGGGTGGTGGAACGTTTATTGTGGTGGGGGGTTCTAGGTGCCTCTTAAGTCCCCTATTTATATATTTAGGAGTCCTGGTTAGGAACTAATATTATAGGCTTGCTAATTCTATTCCTTTTGGAACTAAGGATTGGGTTTAGGGATAAGGGTCCATGGTCCATAGTGGACCATATTAATTAATTAAAGGGAATCCTAATCGTAGTCTGAATAGTAAAAGGCCTACTTCCTTTATTCCTAATAGATAACTAGGTCTAGGATTCCTAATTAGAATCTGAATAGTAAAGGGTTTACTTTCTTTATTTCTAATAGGCTTAGGACTCTAATTTAGGCAAGGGTCCACGGTTCATGGTGGACCTTTATTAATTAATTAAAGGAAACCTAACCGAATTAAATCATATTTAATTATTATTAACGGGATTAATTTAATAATTAATCCGGGATTGAAGGCCGTAACACGGGGTGTTACAAGTATTGATTCATAATCATTTCTATCTCCCGACAAAGGCCCAAGGGAAGCAAGAACATCATCATAGCATATGCCGGCATTGCCTACAAAACATTCTTCAACAAAACCTCCCTCCCAGCTCTTGATAAAAACTTGGCATTCCAAGAACGAATCTTGGTCAGTATACGATCCTTCAGAAACCCCAGAATGGCTTTCATCCTCCTACCCACAAGGGATGGCAAACCCAAGTACTTTCCACTAGTCTCACCTTCCTCCACACCCAGGATATCAACCACCTCATTCCGTATATTATGTGGCACATTAGCACTAAAACAAGCAGCAGACTTATCATAATTAATATACTGGCCTTCGCATAAGTGTCAGCCACATACCTCATTTGAACGCTCTCCCCGACATTAGCCCGGAGAAACAGGAAGGAGTCATCTGCAAAGAGTAGATGAGAGACAGAAGGTGCACCCCTGGCAACCGAGACTCCATGCAATCGGCCGGCTGACATACTTCTCTCAATCATGGCGGTCAACCCCTCGACAACAAAGAGGAACAAGTATGGGGATAGCGGGTCCCCCTGACGGAGTCCCCTACCTGGAATAATAGGTCCCAAATGCCGCTGGTCATGTAGGATATGGTACTGTACCGAGCTAACCGTCTCAAGCAGAATATCAACCCATCGGTTACCAAAACCCATCTTAAGCAATACTGCCCAAAGGAACTCCCATTCCACCCAATCATAGGCCTTAGACATGTCGTGCTTCAACGCCACCACCCCCTCACGCCCCTGTGTCTTTTGTTTCAAAAAGTGTGCACCTCATAAGCCAGCATGATATTATCATTTATTAGGCGCCCCGGTACGAAGGCACTTTGAGCATTCGAAATTAACTTCTGCAACAAGGGTTTTAAACGATTAGCACACACCTTGGCCGCTATTTTATAAATGACTTTACATAAAGTTATTGGGCGAAGATCCTTCATAGACTCCGGCTTGGACTTCTTCGGAATCAAAACAATAAGAGTATCGTTTGCTCTTTGCGGGAGCTTGGCCGAATCCAGAAAACACCTATAGAAAGTCGTAACCTCCCCCCCCCCCCAACAATGTCCCAAAAATATTGAAAAAACCCCGGTCCAAAGCCATCTAGACCCGGGGACTTGTCGGGATGCATCTGAAACACAGCAGCTCGTACCTCCTCCATACTCAGCGGGCGTAGCAACCAAGCATTATATCGCTCAGTTACCTTTTCTGTAATTGCATCACTTACCTCTTGAATCTCCCCATAATCCGGCGTAAACAGGCCTGTATAATAATTCAGCATAACATTGTCCAACCCCTCTTCATCCTCGACCCAGTTCCCATTCTCATCCTGGAGCCTCCTAATAGTGTTCCTACAGCGTCTAGCTTTCACAGAATTGTGAAAATACTTGCTATTAACATCCCCGCCTTGATACCAAAATTCTTTGGCACGTTGTTTACAAAAAGAATGTTGTTGCTCCAACAAAAAGAGCAACTCCCATTCTACCGCATCATACTCACGCATCCAAGGCTCATCACGGTTCCCTCTCAACAAAACCAAACGACCCTTATTATGCTCTATCTTACGCTGAAAATCTCTGTTATAATTCCGCCCCCACTTCGAGATGTCAGGTGCACATGCCTCTACCCTTGCTAACGTGTCCAGGCCCACCGTTCTGTCCCAACTCTGAGAAAAAATTTCCCTGCACGTTTCTTCTCGCAGCCACATATTATAAAAATAGAATCTAGCCTGCCTCCGCACTCGGGGGATGGTTACTGGTGTAAGAACAAGAGGGAGATGATCACTATAAGGGACGACCAGGGAGTGTGCCTGCGCTCCTTGAAACAGATTCAACCAATCCTCACATGCCAGTATACGATCCAGCTTCTCCTCAGTCATTCAATCCGTCCCCCGTGACTTCACCCAAGTGAACTGGGCCCCCCCAAAAAGGACATCCTACAAACCACAATCTGCAACAGCTTCTCTAAAGCCGTTTATCAACCAAACCGGATGTGGGGCGCGACCAACCTTCTCAGACTGATCTAGGAGATCATTGTAATCCCCCATCACCAACCACGGTAGAGAAGACCGATATGACAAAGAGCGCAACAGTTGCCATGCCTCCTGCCTTCGGTGCCTCTTAGGAAACCCGTAATATCCAGTAAAACGCCAGGACGGATTGCCAACATCCAACCATATCTCACTATTAATATGATTTGCAGAAAAACCCGTTACTCTCAAATCCACGCTGTTTGACCATAAAAGAGCTAGACCACCCCTGTGGCCATCTGCCTCTACTGTAAAGACACAATCAAACCCCAACTGAACACGAATATCCTCCATACGATGCTTATCAACAAAAGTCTCGATCAAGTAAACCACACTCGGCCTCTTAGTGCGAACAAGGTCCGCTAAAACACAAACTGCCGTCAGGTTGCCAAGCCCCAGGCAATTCCAAGAAATCAGACTCATAATTCCCAGCGGGCTTGCTCCGCAAGACCCGCCCCCAATCCGTTTTTTGACACAGAAACTTCACAGTCCATAACACCACCAACCTCAGGCACACTAACTTCCCCCTCCTCAACTCTCCGTCTCTTCTGCTCCCCAACAACAACACTCGATACTGCAATAGAGGCCCCGAGTTCACTGTCCACACGCCTACTTCCCAGACCCATTTCTCCCACACAAACCGGCTCCTTTATGCCACTGATTTGAGAATCCATATCACACCCCATAGCAGGTAACCTCCACAGTTTGCATTCAGCAGCAGTCTCAGGAGGAATCCAGCCTTGGTTCATCGTTGGTGCTCCCCGGCGTGATCCGGCTCGTAACCAGGCTCCGTACGGCTTTATCGCCTTAGGATCAGTACGCTGTAGCGCTAGCCTGCAATGTCTATCCCCATGCCCAATCAACCCACACAAGAAACAAAAGGTCGGCAGTCGTACATACCGAAAATCAATGAAAAACCAACTCCCGGCATCCCGCCTGAGCTTCATCTGCTTCTTGAGAGGCTTGGAGATGTCCAGCGACACCTGAACATGATAGTATGCCCTCATAGAGCCGTCAAAGTTCCTCTCATCAGTCTGAACCACAGCTCCCATAAACGAGCCTACGGCTTTAACCACCGTCTCCGAGCGGAAACCAAATGGCAGTGCATGTATCTGAACCCAGAAATCTGCATGAATGAGTGGTACCGTTTCCAGATCCTCCCCTGGTTGAAGCCTCTTCATAACCAACAAACTTTGTTCATACGCCCATGGCCCCTCACTTAAGATACATTGGAGATCGGCCTCATGATAGAAACGGAAGAGAAACCTTCGTGGTTGAAGCTCCCGCATATTAACCCCCATGGTCCCCTGCCACACACCTGCAATGGTGTCTTGAAAATAAGCAAACCAGACTGCACGGTTCGTGAGCAGCCTGCCAACCGCATGGAACACCTCCTCCTCGTCTTCATGTTCACCAGGTTCAAGAGGGACCTGCACTGTGAACTCATCATCATCCACATCCGCCAAAGTCAAACTCGCACACTGGTCTATAACCTCCTGAGCGGCCATTCGCTTAGAAAGATTAGGCACCGGAGATTTATCGTCGACGCTATGAGCACGGCAAAAACAAGGAAAACCCTAATTTACTTGCGAAAACGGTGAGAGAAAAAACAAAACGTAGGATGATCAATTTTAATTACTACTTTTACTAGTTATTAATATAAGAAAAATACTTCTTACCTTCTTGAATATCATCAATTCAAATATTTCATGAATCCAGAGAGGGGACACGCGACGAGTACGACTTCTCAGGTGGGGTGGCGAAAATCGGCTAATGGCTGGCTGAAGCTCAATGTTGATGGAAGCAGCAAGGGGAACGGAGTAGTGGGATGCGGCGGGTTAATCAGGGATGAGCGAGGTAACTGGCGCGTAGGCTTTACTTTTAACATAGGGCGGTGCCAAGAGCCCGAAGCAGAAGCCTGGGGAATATATCATGGTCTGCGTCTGGCAATCGATCATGGCGTCACAAAACTCGCTGTGGAATGTAACTCAAAGAGGCTTATCAACAGCCTCCGTATGGATATTTCCGACCGGGACACAGATAGTAATATTGTGTGGAGATGTAGATGAGAAGCCGAGAAATTTCCAGAGAGAATTTATGCACGTCCTTAGAGAGGGAAACAAGGCTGCGGATGTCCTGGCTACAGCGGTGCTTGCACATCAGATTGGCTATCGAGCTCTACACAATGCTCCTCCGGACCTAAGAGAAATTAATAAGCATGACATGCTGGGAGCGACGTTTATCAGAGCTGTGTGATTTTTGGGTATCCCCCTCCGTATTGATCCAAAAAAAAAAAAATCTTGTCAAAATTACTGATTAAGGAGGTGATCCATCGACTACTTGGTATAATTGGAGAGTTTTTAATAGTCGAGTGTTGGGCAGAGGTCGGTAAGGGCCAAGTCCAGCATCATGGGGCTATGGGGATTGTTAAGGGCCAAGTCCAGCACCTTCGGCAAATTATGCTGTGGAATCATGTCCATCTTGCAAAGTGGACACGGTTCCAAAACTGTTCATAATTATGAATATATAGTTCAAAAATCATGAACATATAGCTTTATAATTATAAACATAGAGTTTTGAACATAATTATGAACATATAGTTCTATAATTATGAATATAGAAATTCAATAATTGTGAATATGAAGTTCAAAAATTATGAATATATAGCTTTATAATTATGAACATATAGTTTAGTAATTATGAACATAGAGTTCTGTAATTGTGAATATAGAGTTCAATAATTATGAATATGGAGTTCAAAAATTATGAATATATAGCTTTATAATTATGAACATATAGTTTTATAATTTTGAACATAGAACCGTGTCTACCTTACAAGGTGGATACAGATCCACAGCATAACGATTGAGCACCCTGGGTCTTGAAAATGTGTGGTGGTATAATAAAATAAGGTTACGCATTCGCTAATAGCTATAGTTTTTGGTGTAGTGATAAGAATCTAATCCTAACATCGAATGAGCTAATTACACTATTTTTTTAGGTTCAATGGCCTGACCTCACTTTCCTGATTAGTTCGATCGATGACCATTTCGAATGTGTTTTTTTTTTTTTTTTTTTAACAAATAAACATTTGTTAACATTAAAATTAATATAAAAAGTGAATAATTCCTTGAAAAATATTATAATTGTTACGCATGCAACAAAATACAGTTACAAAGTTCAGAGTTGGACACTTAAAATCCTACGTTTAATTACAACTTTTACTAGGTATTAATATAAGAAAAATACTTCTTGTTGTAAGCGAGATGCCCGTTGGCTATTAGCTCCTAACCGATGAATCATTTGCAGGATAGAAGATGAGAGGAAAAGTGAAAAGTATTAGACAAAGATGTAGGGAGAATCATATTTTATTCACCAGCCACTCTTTCTACAACAAGAGTATATATATTTACAAGATAATAAAGAATGACATAATGGTAATAATTACAACCTGCTGTTACAAACGTTACAATATAATGTCCATAATTACAATATTTATAACACTCCCCCTTGGACATTATTTATCCATTATCTTGCCTCGTTAAAAACTTCACTAGGAAAACCACGTGGGAAAAACCTAGTTGAAGAAAAGAGTACATCATATTTGTAAATTCATATATCATACTGATTGCCTCGTTAAAACCCTTAACTTAAGAAAACCTCGTGGGAAAAACTTAGTTAAGGGAAAAAGAGTACAACCATAAGCCTTCAAGGCATAATCTTCAAGATTTTGGGGTTTGTCTCTTTAAGTATTTATATAAAACTCCCCCCTTTAGTATATCATACTCATACCTCGTAAAAAAACCACACTAGAAAACCCATTGGGAAAAACCTAGTGAGGGAAAGAGTACATGGTATGTATATGCTGCAAAAAGTATAACTATTAGTCCTTTTAAGACCCAATCTACAGGATTGACTCGAGTGAATGCACTTCTCGTCTCCCCCTGAATATAACAATCTTCAAGTTCTAAATAGCTTAAAGTAAAGTCATTTTTCCCATAGAGTGTAGAGAGGGGATATAGTACAATCTTCAGGATTGTCATTAGAATTTATCATATTCTCTCATGATCATCTGGACCAATGAAAATATTTATAATTTATATTTTGTTGTCCCACTAAATATAATAATTTTTCTTTACCTACACATATCAATCTTATGGATATTTTGTAGGTATACATTTGCTAACTTGTCACTGGAGCAAATCTTCTGAACAAATATTTTATCACTCTTCCAGAGTTCATGTGGATCAAGGTATTTTATATCATGAAAAACTATATACATTTTTATCTGTAACAAGTATGATGAATTCATGCCAAAAAGCATCAATACGAGTATTTGTACCTTGATTTGTTATTCGTTATCTCATCCCATAACTAAACATCATCAAGCTCTTTATATATTTCATTGATGTTTACACCATAAATATTGATTGAGATAATAAATAAGTCCGTTATCAACTCTTTATTGAGCACATAATGGTACATATTATTCCTTCTATATGAGGATAATAATCCCATTCGCAACTCTTTAAAGAGTAAATAATGGCACATAATAATACATAAATAAATTCTCATTTCGGGAATTATGAATTCATTAGGGATTTTTCAAGATAAATTTAACTGCATATCTAAATTTATTATTCTGCCAATTGTATTATGTAGCGGAACTTAATGCCATTTACCGTGGGAGAGTATATTTGAAAAGGGTCTCTGCGTGAACCCATAAGCTACAAACTTGCTTCATAATATATCCATTTTAGCAAGTTGAGCTATGCCTTCAATTGCTCTCTTTATACGTTAATCAATCTAGGCGCTTCTGGCACCTAGCTCTGGATCCAGATTGTCATATAATATGAGAAATTTTGAAGGCAATTGTGTTGTCGACAACTTAAAACATTTTTCAATAATTTCTCCCATATATAAAAGTAATTTTCAAAGTTAACCAGATTATAGCCATTTCCCGGATATTTATATCTGGTTGTTCCGCAACCCAGTATTATAAATATTTGGTGCACCTATAATTTTACTGGGTTTTTCTTGTTGTCTTGGACGATCGTCTTAAAGATATAACTTTTTAATATTTCAAGAGCTCTAAGGGTTTTCAAGAGTGACAAAAAAACTTTACTAGATCTAGTTGTTTGTTGATTCTTTATTTTTCTATCCCAATGAATCTCCCACACTTCTGGCGTCAAGGAGTATCGATAGATATATATGGTCCAATTTTGGGGAATGTGTATGGGACCTAGTCACTCTTTTTATGAAATAGATTTATTTGGCAGATTTCGTTCTGAACTTCAAGTTCAATCTAATTGATACGTGGATTTAATTTTTGAAGATCATTTCATTTCACAAAATTTCTCGGCATTCTATTTCAATTTTGATCATATCTCCCCCTAATGCCGTGAACCGATCTTCACGCAGTCAGCGCATCCATCGCTCTCTCTCTCTCTCTCATGGGCTTTAAATATTGGGGACAATAGATGAAGGTTTAGATGGATACGCTATGGTGGTTATGTAATAGATTGGACTGCATTCATAAGAATAGAAACGCAGATTTGGGAAATGTTTGTTTGAAAACCACGTATTAGATGTAAGGGGGAATAAGGATATGTAGTGTGCCGAAATATTTTGCATAAATATTGCATTTCCCCACCAAGTATCCGGCACATTGAATTTTTTTTTTTTTTTTTAAATAATGGTTTAGCTATAAGTCATAACTTTATTAATTAGCTAAGCCATTTAGGTATGAGCATAAGGTACTTGGTGCTCCGCCTTAATGCTTAATGTCATATAATAATCGTCGAAAAAAGGACGAAGTTCATAGGATAACTTGAAAATTAGGCATTATCCATAAGATACTATATCATATTCGTCTTTTTAGGTGTGGCACGTACTTGATCAATACCCTATACACCCACACTTGAAGCATACTTGATGTTGGGCCAGAGTTCTAATTGTATGAAAGTGGTTGTCCTCGACGAGTTTTGATCATGTATTATGGTTTCGGGAGTTATTGTTGCCACCTTTGCCTTGATTCCTATCGCGATCTCTTCTTTGGCCCCTCTTGGCGTTGCATGACTGAGCAACATTGTGTGCTTCGGGCACTGGTGCAAAGTTAGATTGGGACACGATTTTGTGGAAAGCCAAATTATAATCAGTCACTGACTTTAAAATCTTGAAATCTCAAAGTTAAGTCAGTCAAATTGTGTCTAAGGAAGGGCTAGGATTATTTGCTAGTTAAAACTATCCTCCAGGGATTTCTATAAGGCATATAGGTCCTTTTTCAGAAAGGTATTCATTTTTCAGGTCATGGTTCAGATGGTGGCGAGGAAAAATTAGGGCTTTTAGCTTTCAAAGCCTCACCGCTCGTGGACTCCTAAGTAATTGCTCCCGTTGAAACCAAGCTCGGTGAATTCACACTTGATGATAGCAGCCAAAATTATTTTATTCACCGCTTCTTACCTTCTTGAATATCATCAATTCAAATATTTCATGAATCATGTCATTTTCTCTCTTTAACACAAACTTTTTAACCACTAATTTTTCCAAAGGCTTTTAACTTAATCAATTAATTTATGGATTTTTTTATTTTTTTTTTTAACTTTTAACTAAATGTAATTCCATGTGACAGAATGGTATAATCGCCTACCCTAGACCATACAGGATGTGGTAGAGAAGAGTAGAATTAGAATGATTACCAATTTTAACTAACTTTAATTCCTTGTGACAAAAAGGGTCAAAGTACCTATGGGGTCCCTATACTATAGTATTTTGCTCAATTTAGTCATTTTACCTTAATTTTATTTAATTAGTCCATGTACTTTTAAAAGTGATACACTTAAGGACAATAGCTTATAATATTTATGTAATATATTGGTGGTGAAAATAATTAATTTTAAATATTTATAAAATAATATATGAGTTGGCATGTAAATATGATGACGTGACAGATATAATGTCATAAGAGTCCCGAGCTACCCATACCAGTAACTAATGTTTAAACACCGGCCAGACAGAGTATTTGGGAGCATGTAAATCATGGTGACTCAATGGTTGAGCGGACATGACCGAGTATTTGGGAGCATGTAAATCATGGTGACTCAATGGTTGAGCGGACATGACCAAATGCCGGTGTGCACATTATCGCCACCTAGGTTCGAACCTTGATCTCTCCCAAATAGTGCCCACCAAACCATTCAGAGCTAAGCCCATGCAGGCAAGTAATTTTAATTCTTGGCAGCACAATTAATTGAAATATACATTACTAAATTGCAGTATCAAACCTAAACCATTGCAGGAACCTTAGGAATGCACAATCTTTACTGCGGCTTACCGGCCTCTCTTTAATCCACGCGCCGCCACCAAAACCCTTGCTGTAATATAAATCAAGCGGAGAAAGGAGACGAAATCCATGGGTATGTCAGGAATGAAGCACACGGGCGGCCACATGCACGGTATGGGATTCCCACCTTCACCCTCCGCCGCCTCGAACGGTACAGCTGCTCACCACCACCGCCACACGATGATGCACATGGCGTTCTTCTGGGGAAGGAACACCGTGGTCCTCTTCTCCGGCTGGCCGGGATACGACAACCTCGGAATGTATGTTTTCTCGTTGGTTGTCGTTTTCGCTCTAGCGGTTCTGGTAGAGTGGTTGTCCAATTGCAACTACATCAAGGACGGCGCGAACCGTGCGGCGGCGGGGATCCTCCAGACCGCCATGTACGGCCTCAGAATTGGGCTCGCCAATATGCTGATGCTGGCCGTGATGTCATTCAACGGCGGCATATTTCTGATGGCCGTCGCCGGACACGCGCTCGGGTTTTACTTCTTCGGGAGTAGGGCTTTTAACAAGCCACCGTCGCCGGCGGATGGGACGACCACAGATCTTCCGCCTATGCACTGTGGCTCCTAGCTAATACGAATATTCGGAAAAAGAAAAATTTACTTACTTTTATTTTATTTATTATTTATTATTTACTATTTTAGGCCTTTCTAAAAATAAATATTGATACTGTACGTATGACTATAGAAAAATACTACATAGACTCTTATTTTTTACTTCAAGGCAAATTATTTTGTAGACCTGAATTTAAAGATACACAATTTACATATTGAATTTTCTAAATTTACATAGTGAATGTTTACAATTTTCATACTAAATGTTTACAAATTTTCATACGACATCGTTTTTACCGGAAAAAATAATTAGTTAATGTCCGGTTAACAGCGTTTTGCATTCTATGTTCAGATTATAAATTTACATTTATTAAATTATGAATTTTCTGTGTGAGATTATGAATTTACAGCTATGTAATTATGAATTTTCTGTATATTCATAATCTCATAAAATAAAATTCATAATCTCATAACAGAAAATTCATAATTTTATAACAGAAAATTCATAATCTCATAAAAGAAAAATATTTATTAAATTATGAATTTTCTGTTATGAGATTATGAATTTACACTTATATAATTATGAATTTTATGTACATTCATAATCTCATAACAGAAAAATCATCATCTCATAAAAGAAAATTCATAATTTCTGCACATTCATAATTTCCGTGCCTGCACATTCATAATTTATGAGCGTTAAAGAAACTTGCGTGAAGAGGAAGTGAAACCAAAAAATCTGAATATAAAGAAGTCGTTAAAAAAAAAAAAAAAAAAAAAAAAAAAAAAGGATTGGTGGAAGATAACGGTGCACCGTTACCGTTCGGGACCATGTTCACCATCCCGACGGACCTTTGGATCTTTGAAAGGGCTTTGCTTCCTCAGTAAATATCTTAGTAGAAGATATGATTTCTTGGAACCGTCCTTAATTGTCACATCATTAAGTAAAAGTGATATGATAGAGTAGAATTTGGGCGTATATAGTAAAAATCATGAGTATATGGTATCATTGTATCAATAATGGTGATTAAAACTAATATATTGAATGCATGGATCACTTTGAAGGTGAACCATTCCTTGATATAAATATTATACTTGTTATGCAGCAAAAATATTGGTACCATACAGTCAAAGACTTAATAACGTTTATTAAAAAAAAAAAAAAAAAATAGGCCTAAAATTAAAAGTAAGAAAAAATTTCTTTTCCTAAATTTTCCTAGCTATCATCAGCAATTGCAGCTCATAGGTGGGAGATCTGTGGTCTTCCCGTTCGCCGTCGACGGCGGCTTGTTGAAAACCCGACTCCCGAAGACCAAAAATCCGAGCGTGTGTCCGGCGATGGCCACCAGAAATATGCCGCCGTTGAATGACATCACGGCCAGCATCAGCATATACGCGAGCCCGATTCTCACGCCGTACATGGCGGTCTGGAGGAGCCCCGCCGCCGCACGGTTCGCGCCGTCCTTGATGTAGTTGCAGTTCGAAAACCACTCCACCAGAACCGCGAGAGCGAAAACGACAACCAGCGAGACAATATACATGCCGAGGTGGTCGTGTCCCGGCCAGCCGGAGAAGAGGACCTCCGTGTTCCTCCCCCAGAAGAACGTCATGTGCATCATCATGTGGCGGCGGTGAAAAGTGCCGTTCGCGGCGGCGGCGGCGACGGGCGATGACGCCGGCATCCCCATACCGTGCATGTGGTCGTCCATCCCTCCCGTATCAATGGAATTCGCCTGAATTTTAGAGGAAGAAAACGAGGGTTTTGGTGACGGCGCGTGGACTAAAGAGTAGCCGGTATGGCGTAAGTGATTGAGAATACCAAGGTTGTTGTTATCATTAAATAGGTATAACCAGAGTACAATTCTGTATTGTACTACTGTATATCTACTATACTAATAAGAGCCCAAGAGAGTTACGCCTATAATGAGTAGAAAAAATGGCGGTCAAATTTTTTAATCAAATGAATGGCTCAGATTGATCAGATTTTAATTTTTTTCTTGAGATTTCCTAATTTATCCTTAATGAATATGATTATCCGTTAACATTTCCGTTAAATATTATCTTTTCCGTTAATTTCTGTTAGTTCACCGTTAACTTACTCATTGATTTCAATAAGAACGGTCTTAGGTTCGAACTACATCCCAATCAAAGTTGGCATAATTAGTACTTTATTCTACTCTTATTACTTTATTCTACTCTTATTAAATTAAATAATAATTTAGTAGCTACAACAAAAAATAATACTTATGCATTTCTTTAATTTAGAATTATGTGTCTACAATGCCTTTATTCAAAAAAATTTATTCATTATCAATAAATTAAATAAGAGAAATAATTTCATTAGTTATATTGTCTTTATTTTTCTCCAATATAAAAATTCTTTATATTCAAAATTCAAATTCATCAATTGATTGTATTCGTTACATTGTCCCTATAATGTCTTTATTAAAAAAAATCATTATCAATAAATTAATTAACACTACTGGAAATTATGGAATTTTCGACCACCTGAAAGTGATCTTAAATCAAGTCAAAAGTCTTGTTCCGACCACTTTTGGTATCCGGAAAAACCTTTGTTGCTATTTCCGACCACTTTTTGGACTTTTTGGTATCAACTTAATTTAAGATCATTTTCAGGTGGTCGAAAATTTCATAATTTTCAGTAGTGTAAGAGAAATAATTTCATTAGTTATATTGTCTTTATTTTTCTCCAATGTAAAAATTCTTTACATTCAAAATCATTAATTGATTATATTCACTACATTGTCTATTATCTTTTTTTTGTGCACTATTTTTTAATTAAATATCAAAGTTATAATACAAAATAATGCTATATATTTATTTACCAAGAATTTTATTAATACCATGAAAAATTTTAAAAAATTTAAATTAATAAAGTCAATTATATTAACTATTTGAGGGATTTGTTGACAAAGAGAGTATTTAAATCACGCAACAAATTGAAGTGATAAACTACCTCACAATGTCATTGTTTGACAATAATAATAATAATAATAATAATAATAATAATAATAATAATAATAATAATAATAATAATAATAATATAATAATAATAATAATAATAATAATAATAATAATTGTTTTAATAATAGTTTTTTAAAAAAATATATAGATGTGTTTTTGGGAAATATTCTCAAAAATGTTAAGTGAAAATATTGTAAATTGGAATGTTTGTATTTTCAGTGGTTTGGAACAAATTGTTGCTTCAAACCATTGAATAACCAAAACACTTTCTTTAGCATCTTGATCTTTGGGTTACATCATATTTACCAATCATCCAATATCTTTGAGTTACATTATAATTTAAATTTTTAAATTTTTACTACATCTAAATTCCTTAAATTAGGAATTCCTTTATCCATAATAATTTATGCAACAATAATGGTTAAACTAAATGAACACTAAGCAAAACACCTAAAGGAACCGTTGATTCATTCATTGATCTTGTATATATGTGTATTCATTAAATATATTAGAACCCTTTGCAACAAAAATACTTGGTTACTATTTTTTAAAAAAATAGTAACAATTATAATGAATCTCATATATTACATTGTATTCATATACTATGAATTACATATTTAAATAAACAAATTAGAAATTAAATTACTTATGTTGAAATTCTCATATATAATCTTGTATTTATATACTTTCAATTATTTATTTAATTATAAACATTGGGTAGAAAAAATGACCGTCAAATTATTAAATCAAATGAATAGTTCAGATGGTTCAAATTTTAATTTTTCCTTGAGATTTCCTAATTTATCCTTAATTATATGATTATCTGATTCGTTAACTTTTCCATTAAATACCGTTAATTCACTGTTAGTCTAATATAGAATTATAACTACAACATTAATCTAATTCTAATATTAAAGTCTTAATAGAACTCTAATCACAAATCCTACTGTCGGAATCTCCTCAAATAATATTAGTATATATTTAATATTTTATGCTTTAATTTTTATTTGCTCCCTTATGTCCCGTATTTAGTTTCAACCATACCCATGCATACAATTATTTTATTGACCATTATAATCAATCTTGACTATATTATCTTGCATTTGTAAACTTAGAATTACCAATTTAAATACGCAAATTCAAAATTCAATTATCTATGCATGAACAATTCTAATATAATCTTGCCTTGATATACTTTAAAATACTTATTTAAGAAAAACATTGGGCATTATTCCAATCGCGCAATGCGCGTAAAAAACTAGTTGTAGTACAAATACTGAAATTTTCGTATTTTTCTGGTAATTTAAAACTTAAAAGATCATGATTATTTTATCTTGTTATAGCTTTCAAAAAAAAAATAATAATGATTTGTTAATTTTCCCCCTTCTTTGTTTTAAATTAGTAATTTTTTTATTTTATTTTTAATCTTTTTCTTTGGCTAATTTCACTTTACTATTGTACATTTGTTATTTTAATTAAGAAAAAGGATATGCATTGTATTATAATTGTATTTCAAAGTCCAACGCATTCCACAACGCGCGTTATGGCGTGCGTTGTGCAAATCAGTGCGGAAATTTCAGGATCTAGTCTATTTAAAAGGCTAGTTGCGGAACTACTTCATAATCAATCACTTTTCCCCTTTAGAAATCAGATTTTAGCATTCTTAGTTAGGGTTCTTAGGATAGATTTATATTTCTTTCATCATCTATCGTTTCAATTTATAATTTCTCCCAATTAGTAAATTGGATTTCACTTTCTAGAATCTAGGTCATCTCTAGCCTATTCCATTGTTGAAGAACTCTTGGAGAAGAAGATTGACAACCTTCAATTCAAGGGACATTTATAGAAGATATCAACTATTGCAATCTAATTTGGTATTCTCTTGTTGCTTTTATTCTCTAATTGTTGTTTGATTTCATATTGCAATGTTGATTTACTTAGCTATGCGTGGCTAGAATCCTTTGTGAATTGGATCTTTATTCTCTTGTGTTGAATGTGATTGATCTATGGATTTGTGATGATGTGCTTGTTGCCTTGTTGTAAGAGGACCTAGTATGGACTCATTGGATGTTAGTGCACCACATTCATGTAGGTTTGAGAAGGATTGAGATAACAAGAGATTGTAGCTTGATCCTAAGCTTCCCCTTTTGCAATTCCCCTCTCAATGAGTCCTACGGGACTTGGAGCGGAATGAGATGTAGATAATGTGTTTGTAGGAATGCTCCTTAGGACCATGGTCACGGAATGGTGCTCCATACCAAGGAATTGCCTAGTAACCCGAGAGGTTAACGGTATTGGGAGTCATCTCACGTAAGCTATGCACCACTAGTTGCATTCCTAGGTTGATTCACTTCACACACACAAGGGACAGGAATCCAATTCACCTAACACCATCCTTACTAGTTTTATTTCTTTGCCTTGCATTTTTCTTCCTTACACAATGCTTTCTCCTAGCTTCCTATTGTATATATGTGCTTGTGTTTGAACTCACGGCTTTTGATTCCGATTGTCCATCCTTAATTTGAGAACGAAAACCCCGGGAATCTTCATTCCCGATCTTCTTTCCACCCCACGCATACTACGACCCGTCAAAATGGCGCCATTGCCGGGGATGACAAAGGCTTTGAGTGCTATGTTGTTGGCATGAGTGCATATAGTTGTGTAAGTGTAAAATGTTATACATTTAAAAACCACTTAAGTTGGCTTTAATTAGTTGTCAAAATGGTCCAGTGTCTGTGTCAGGTTGAATCTGGATCAGCTCCTACTCCAGTCCTGTGTCAGCGCCAGGATGCAGTCTAGGATCAACTCCAGGAAGTAATCCAGAAGAAGTGAAACTCATTCAACATTTATTTTGGTCAAGAACCTACTTCCATGGCTTTTTAAATCAGGAGATGCAGCTTAATTTGAGGAATTGAAGGCTGTATTTTTTCAGACCAAGGAGGTTTCATATCATCACTATAAAATGCTACATTGTTAAGCATTAAAGTTGAAGATTCGAGGATTAAAATTATACATATCATTCCTCAAATCCTCTACTGGTTTTTCTATCAATATATTCGTGTGTTGAAGGTTTCTCAACTGGTTCAAGCTATGATGAAGATAGCCTGCACGTCAAGTCCATGGTGATGCTAGAGTAGTCGCTGGAGTAGTTGCTGGATCGGAGTAGTGCGCTGCGCTGGAGTATTGTAGTTTATGCTTTAGTGTGTAATGTACTCCCCCTTGTACTCCTTGTTGATCATCTAGTGGATTGGGCTGACGTGAGTGGCCCCGCAGACATAGGAGTGAGGCTCCGAACTGTAACACCCCCGATTTCCATACCAAATTTAACCTTAGACATGCAGATAATTCTAACCATAAAAGCATACACAGCGGAAGACTTAAGCATGAAATATATGGAAAACATAGAGTGCTATGCCACGCTCACTCAACAGTGAGAGCACAGGCGTAAATATCTGCATCATAATCCAACAATCTCAGAAACCAAGTCAACAACATAACATCTAACTCTAATCAAAGGCACGCAGGCCCGAATCATCATAAAGAAAAGGGGATCTATTCTAACAGCTTCTAGACTGCACCCTCATCTAATCAGCACCTGAAAGAAACACAGATATATATATTGGGACGACGCCCGGTCAGCGAATGATGCTGGTAACCCACCAATACATGTGAAATATCATATGTAGATAGTTTATATATACAAAATCATTTGCGAAACGGGATATAGTATATATCAATTTCAAAAGCCAAGATGGAGATCAACACAAGACTCTATGCACTCACAATAAAGATAAGGGAACACATCCCAATACATC